CGCAGCAGGGCCCTAGTTCATGACTGGGTTCCTACATGCTATGACTATACAAATAATAAATAATAAGTGAATCCATTAAAACAGTAATAATGGGTGAGTTCTATGATCTACCTATGTCATGTCAAGAACGAGTTTTAAAAAGATATTTCTCGACACCTTTATTGTTTGCTTCTTGGAAAAGCTAGTTCTAGAGCACACAAGAGGAGCGATGTAGGAGACTACAGGGCTGCCCAGGTGTTCCTGAGGGCAGAATTGTATGTGCAGATTTTGTATTACAGGTGATTAATGTATGAGCCAGAAAGAACTCAGATTAATTTTTAAATACAATAATGGGTTGTCTTTCACTTGAAAACTGATAAATTCTGTGATAGATGCTTTAGAGAGAGGATGCTTTAGGAAACTAGTTAAGTTTTCGCAAAAAGAAAAGGAGTACTTGTGGCACCTTAGAGACTAACCATTTTATTTGAGCATAAGCTTTCGTGAAGTGAGCTGTAGCTCTCTAAGTCTCTAAGGTGCCACAAGTACTCCTTTTCTTTTTGCGAATACAGACTAACACGGCTGTTACTCTGAAACCTGTAGTTAAGTTTTATATCCCTACAGGTGACCTTTGTAAGTCCTCCACCAGTCTGGCTCTCCACACATGTGGTGGGGCAGGTCAGGGTGAGAGAAATGCCTTGGCTCCACCTGTCCTAGAAAGCTTTTGCAGAAAAGTTAATGAGGCATCTGGCCCTGTCCCCTTCCATAGGGGTCTCTGTAGGACGGGCAGGGGCTAGCCCATTGATCTCAGGCAACCAGTGACTTTCTACCTGCCTTCAGAATGAGCACTGAAAATCACCTTTCTATGATTTTTAATTCATTTTCTCTACTCGAGAAATTATTTTTGCCACTGCCTAAAGGTGGGCTAACATTGAGACAATGTGACTCAATTATACTAGGAGAAATGTTACAAGACCAACATGTGTTGGCTGCCACCAAACCTGCTCTGTATAATTTTGCTGATCTGATCTGAAGCAAAAAATGAGATCTGAGGATGTGAGACACAATTATCGGGTTGAAATGTCCTCTTCCATTTCTTATTCCAGTCTCAGATATCTAATTCAGACTGTAAATGAATTTTCCATGCATGGTATAAGCCGTGAGATGGTTTCAATCCCTTACCTTTAAGTTATTTATATATTTGGCTTGCTCTACAGGAAGATTTCAATAAGGAGGTGAGGAAGCACTGGCCTATTTTCTTGAAAATAATATGAGAAGGGGAGAAGTGGACATTGAATATATTCCATAGTCTTGAAATTGCAACAAACTGATGTCTCTTGCAGCTCAGGAGATAATAGTGTCTTATTCTCCATTATTATATCATTTAGAAGACAAATATTTTCCTGAATCCATAGTTTCTAATGCATTGTTGATGTTTTGTTTGAAACCTCAAGTTGAGTCACAAAGATATTTATTCTAAAGCAAATCAAACTGTTACTTTCAGCTTTGTGTAAAATACTAAAAACTTTAATAACGTTAAATAGAATGGGATTATTGTCCAAAGATTTCAGGAGATTCCCAGTAACAGTAGCAGAGATATTAAACCTCAGTGCTGCTTGTTTTTCTGTAAGTAACCGGGAAGGAAAGTTGCAACTCTTTTCTTTGTGAAACAATTGTGCATGTGGGCACTGAGCTGATCTACATCTGTGCCAGCACGGATCTCCATCCTTAGAGGTCTTTAAGGCCCGGCTTGACAAAGCCTTGGCTGGGATGATTTAGTTGGTATTGGTCCTGCTTTGAGCAGGGGATTGGACTAGATGACCTCCTGAGGTCTCTTCTAACCTTAATATTCTATGATTCTATGCCCTGGGAATCTGGGAGCCACAACAAGCCACTTGATCCCTTCCCTTTTCTCCTTCACCAAGTGGAAAGTCGGTGCAGTGGAGAATCATGGAAAGCAGTGGTGCAGGATTACCCACAATGCCCTGCCAGTGTGCCTGGAGGAATCACCTTTAGGGCAGCCTGGACTAGTGTGGGTGGTGTGGGCTGGAATTCGTGGAAGCTGAGTGCCATTCCTCCTGCAAGTACCTTTTCTATGCCATCATTAATCTGATTCCCTGTCACTGATCATAGTCCACAAGATGACAGGTTTCAGAGTAACAGCCGTGTTAGTCTGTATTCGCAAAAAGAAAAGGAGTACTTGTGGCACCTTAGAGACTAACCAATTTATTTGAGCATAAGCTTTCGTGAGCTACAGCTCACTTCATTGGATGCATACTGTGGAAACTGCAGAAGACATTATATACATAGAGACCATGAAACAATAGAGTGGGGTGGGAGGAGGTATTGTTTCATGGTCTCTGTGTAAAAAAAAAGGCTGGCCTAGAGCACCATTTTTTGGATGTGGACTCAGCTCCTCATCAGATTTACCGTGGAAGCAGCAGCTTATATCACACAGAGAATATGAAACAATCCCTCCCCCCCCACGTCCTGCTGGTAATAGCTTATCTAAAGTGATCAACAGGTGGGCCATTTCAAGCACAAATCCAGGTTTTCTCACCCTCCACCCCCCACACAAATTCACTCTCCTGCTGGTGCTAGCCCATCCAAAGTGACAACTCTTTGCATAATCAAGTCGGGCTTTTCCTGCATAGATCAAGGTTTTCTCCCCCCCCACCCCCATACACACACAAACTCCCTCCTGCTGGTAATAGCTCATCTAAACTGACCACTCTCAAGTTTAAATCCAAGTTAAACCAGAACATCTGGAGGGGGGGGTAGGAAAAAACAAGAAAAACAGGCTCCTCATGCTTGCCCTCCCTCTTTAAGCCTAAATTATTCTGCAATTCCATTCGGTTTGAGTGTTAAGTCCGCGGCCGGGGGCCCCGGTTTATGATGTTTTCTGACCTGTGGCCTGAGTCCATGCCGGGCGGGCATATCGGGGGGCGCCCGGGGCGGTTATTGGCTGAGGGCCCTGAAAGTGGGGCCGGCGTTGTGCAGGTAGTTCCTGTGTGGTCTGGGGGTAGGGTGTGGTGTTTTGTTCGGGGGCGAGGCGCGCCCCAATGGAGGGGCCAGGTGGTGTGTCCTTATATGTGGAGGGTTTGTTGGGGGCGAGGTGTGTGGCTCTGTATTTTCTTTGTTAGGCCGTCCGAGGGTACTCGGGTCTTCGGCTCTTCATCGTTTCTTTCTCGCAGGTGGGTTTGTAGTTGTAAGAAAGCTGACAGGTCTGAGGGTTGTCTCTGTCTGAGGGTTGGAGCAAGCTGGCCCAACCCCTCGCACCTCCGTCCTCTTACACCCCGGTGGGGGGTTCCCGACCAGCGCACAGCCCCCCAAACCTCTACTATCTCTGCTCCAACAAAACAACTCTCCTCTTTGGGGAACCCCTCCTTATCCTGCTTGGTCAAATTCTCTAGTAAAAGAATAAATAAAATAGTTAATTATATTAAAAATGAATTCTCTGGATCATGAGGTATCTTAAAAAAAAAATTAAACAGTCAGAATTGAATTCATTTGAAATTGGATACTATTAATTTAGTAAATAAGACGGGGTGGCAATCATTATGAAGTAGCCTGTTTCTTCTTGTTTTTCTACCCCCCCCTCCAGATGTTCTGGTTTAACTTGGATTTAAACTTGGAGAGTGGTCAGTTTAGATGAGCTATTACCAGCAGGAGAGTGGTTTGTGTGTGTATGGGGGTGGGGGGATGTGAGAAAACTGATTATGCAGAAATAGCGACTTGATTATGAAAGAGTTGTCACTTTGATGGGTGAGGAGAGTGAATTTGTGTGGGGGGTGGAGGGTGGAAAACCTGGATTTGTGTGGAAATGGCCCACCTGTTGTCACTTTAGATAAGTATTACCAGAGGAAGTGGGGTGGGAGGAGGTATTGTTTCATATTCTCTGTGTGTATATAAAGTCTGCTGCAGTTTCACGTAAACATCTGATGAAGTGAGCTGTAGCTCACAAGCTCATGCTCAAATAAATTGGTTAGTCTCTAAGGTGCCACAAGTACTCCTTTCCTTTTTGCGAATACAGACTAACACGGCTGTTCCTCTGAAATCTGTGTATATAATGTCTTCTGCAGTTTCCACAGTATGCATCCAATGAAGTGAGCTGTAGCTCACGAAAGCTTATGCTCAAATAAATTGGTTAGTCTCTGAGGTGCCACAAGTACTCCTAGTCCACAAGATGTGAGTTAAAATGAAACAACCACTAAAAATAAACCTGTCACTTACATGGGTCTACAAGATGTGCCCACACCAAAACAGAGTGATCCTGTGATCTTGTTACTGTGACCCTGATCTTTCCTGACCCTATTGTTTTATTCATTGGGGAAGGGTTTCAAAGGGCTCAGGGGTCAGATTTTCAGTTGCTCAGCACCCACGACTGTGGCCTGATTTTCAAAAGAGTTCGGCTCTCATTTAGTCACCTATGTAAGGGCCAGATTTCCAAAAGTGCTCCGTAGCCAACTGCTCACATTTTGATACTGCTGGTGAGATTACCAAATAAGCTCAGCAGCGAATGGCCACTTATTTGGGTTCCTAGGCAGGAAATGAGCACTTTTGGAAATCTGGCCCGTAGGGTCATGCCTCAATTAGAATGTAAAGGGAAGATTTTCAAAAATACCTAAAGGATTGAGGAGCATAAGTCACCGACTTTCACTGGGGCTTGTCCTCTTATATCCCTTGTGTGCTTTGCAAATCTCCTTCTAAGTTGTTTGGAGAAAGGAAAGTGGGTGGGATTTTCAATGACTCGGGAGCACAATTTCAATGGGACTTGTGCTTCTGAATCTCTTATGTGCTTTTGAAAATCCCACCCCAGTATCCTTCTGTTTGCTCCGTACACTGCCTAGCACACTTGTGCATGCAATATGGAAAATAAATGAGAACAGTGTGATGGGAATTATGCATGATATGTTGTAGATTATAACAGAAATGACAAAATAGTGGATTCTTGATTAACGATCCTGGTTAAGTGGAGGAGCAAATGTTATGATGAAACTGAGACTCTTTGTAATTATTTGCAGACAGATTACCACTATGAATACACAGAATGTGACAGCAGTGGATCCAGGTGGAGGGTGGCTGTCCCAAATCCGTCAGCGGAGTGCTCTGGATTACCTGACCCCATGAAAGGAAAAGAATGCAGTACGTTTGCACTTTTCATTTTACAGATCTTTATTAGTAATGTTACTGCATTGGCATAAACTATTGGCACTGGTTAATTATCAGTTAGAGACGCAATGTGGGCTATTGGATAGTGCACTGGGCTGGGATTCAAGAGATGGGTGTTATTTCTAGCAGGGTGGATTTGATTTAAAACACTAGTCAGGAAGACTCGATTTAGTCATGGTTTTCCACATAAAAGTGCATTCTTGTTGGTTGTTATAACCTTAATACATATTCTTCACAACTCAGAGATAGATGTAGGTTTCATTTTTAGAAGGTACACACTATACATTTTTAAAGTGATTTATTTTGAAAAATTTTCTGATTTAGTTTTACAGCTAATGAATGATTGTTTGGTTATTTCATTTACCAAAGGTAATTGAAGCAGATATTTATGAAGTCACTGGGAGGTGGACTATCTCCAATTCAACAGGTTAATCATTAATATTTGGAGGATTTTCTTGCCATGCTGTATTAGGAGGAGAACATCACCAGACATTTAAATTGTTTTATTTAACTAAAACAACAACGTTAAGTATTCTGGATTTTTTTCTTCAACAGCAAACCCATAATATTTTAACAAAACAAGCATATGTCCCTCGCTTCTCACATTTATCTCCAGACTTCTCCTTATTCAGATTTATTCTGTCCCCAACAATCTTCTATTCATTGAATTTTTTGAAACTTTGAATTTTTAGAGAGAGGTAAGGGATTGATTCTGTGTACACAAATTTGCAGAGGGACAATAGAGTTGAGGTCTGTTATTTCTCACCTCTATATATTATTTATTTATTTTAAAATATTTTTGCTGTTAACAAGCATGTTACCTCTGGAGACACAAATCCACAGTTTGAGAACTGCAAAACTAAGCATCTCTGATGGTATCTTCTAGACTGAGCTCTGAGTCCCATTGGGTAGATAGAAAGATTAACCTAAATAATCTATACAGAAGCCCCTGGAACCCCATAAGATTGGGTCTCTAATCCATGAACTATTGGAACTCATTTACAAAATTTTTCTTAAACATTACATGAATATATTGTCTCATAATATAGAATTAAAATTTAAAATCCCTATTCCATGATGAGATATCTTTGAGTTATAATGTATCGACATTGGTGAGGCCTCATCTGGAGTACTCTATTCAACATTGGTGAGGCCTCATCTGGAGTACTGTGTCCAGTTTTGGGCCCCACACTTCAAGAAGGATGTGGATAAATTGGAGAGAGTCCAGCGAAGGGCAACAAAAATGATTGGGGGTCTGGAACACATGAGTTATGAGGAGAGGCTGAGGGAGCTGGGATTGTTTAGCCTGCAGAAGAGAAGAATGAGGGGGGATTTGATAGCTGCTTTCAACTACCTGAAAGGGGGTTCCAAAGAGGATGGCTCTAGACTGTTCTCAATGGTAGCAGATGACAGAACGAGGAGTAATGGTCTCAAGTTGCAGTGGGGGAGGTTTAGATTGGATATTAGGAAAAACTTTTTCACTAAGAGGGTGGTGAAACACTGGAATGCGTTACCTAGGGAGGTGGTAGAATCTCCTTCCTTAGAGGTTTTTAAGGTCAGGCTTGACAAAACCCTGGCTGGGATGATTTAACTGGGAATTGGTCCTGCTTCGAGCAGGGGGTTGGACTAGATGACCTTCTGGGGTCCCTTCCAACCCTTATATTCTATGATTCTATCTTAATTAAAACTATCTTTAGTTAAGTTTTTTCCTCAAAAAGCATTTTATCAAAAAAAAATCCAATATAAAGAAAAAAAATCCAATTTTTTAAATTATTTTTTAAAAATCATTAATTTTTATCCACCCTGATTTCTAGCTCTCCCACTGACCTCTTATGTTACCTTGAATAAGTCATTTCCCCCTCTCACTGCTTTTGTTTCCCTTCCCATCCTGTCTTGTTTATTTAAACTGTAGGACAGGGACTGTCTTTTACTATGTGTAACCCACAGGTGAGTAAGTGGTACACGTTCCCCTCTGTGCTGATCTAGAGATTATATGAGTCTGTCACAGCACCACTTAGGCAACCACAGCTCTGTAGCTCATGCTTCTGTGCAGGCTCCTGTTTAATACATTTAGGACTCTTCTCCACTGGATTATCTCCCTTCTGGAGCATTGCTGCTAGGATCACACAGTAACTCAACCAGGTTGGGAACCAGCTGGATATGCCACTTGTTTTCCCCTATATTCCATTACTGAGTACTTCAATCAGTCTCAGCTTTATAGGATCTCAGGATGCCGCTCCGTTCAGTGAGAACAGCTGGTATCGTCCAGTTTTTGTGTTCATTTGCTTTTCTCTGTGGTAGGTCTCCTGTTTTAACTTTGATAAACTTCTGACTGAATTCTGATGGTTAAAGACTTCTTAGATTTGGCACCTCTCAGACTTGCATCCTGTAAGGATAAGGATAGTTAAATTCTGGAATAGTTTTCCAAGGGAGGTTGTGGAATCCCTATCCTGGAAGTTTTAAAGAACAGGTTAGACAAACACCTGTCAGGGAAGGTCTACATTTACTTGGTCCTGCCTGAGTGCAGGGGACTGGACTAGATGACCTCTCGAGGTCCCTTCCAGTCCTACATTTCTATGAGTCTGTAAACAGAATTTCAACACATCTAGAAAAATAATCAATGGCTTTTAGATAGGTATGACCCCTCTCTTCACACCGGTCTAGTGCTATTCTTTCCCAAGGCCTGTCCAAAAAATACTGTAAGTAGGAGAAACTCATGCTTTGTCTTTCTGGACATTCTACAAAGTTAGTGTAACCTACATAGAGGGGAGCTAAGTCAAAATGCTTACCAATTCTGTGCTACAGAACTCCTCTGACTTAAAGTATTTGCAGAGACCTGGAATTCATATCTTCGTGAGAAACTACAGCTGGATTTTCTATAAGAACCTTTTAAATACTAAAAGTGGAAATTATAATGGTGTTCACTTCGTTTTTCTTGTTAGGAATCCAGTACCAGTCTTTATCATAGATAAACTGTTACAGCACAGCAGTTACAATGCAGCCTAGCTAAATTAACATCACTAACTAGCGTTTTTTAAATGTTCCTTTAAAATGAAGAATATAACACAGGGCCTAAGCCCTATTTTTTATATATTTTAAATCTCACAAAAATGTGCATATATTGGGACTTCTGATAACCAGAGATCTTCTGCTATCACATAGGCTCACCCATTTACAACAAGATAAATCATTTAGTTGTATCACATAACCAACTGTTTTAGCATCCACGATATTAAGCACAAACACAACTTTGAATAAGAAAAAACTGACCATTACTATAGCTATTAGGCTGGCATGGTGTCTTTGATTCAATGATGTAATATAGCTCACAAAGACATCTGGTCTCCAGTCTGTGATTCCTCCTTTACGGTGTTTTCTCAATCCCAATGAGTTTTGTAAAATTACAGGAAACTGTATTGAGATCCAGCCTACGGATTCAGTCTGGTTATCCATGGCAGCCCTATCTTCTCTCTGCAGGGCAGGGCTGGATCTGACTGGTGCTCAAATGGCTGACAGTTTTGTACCCCTGAATTGAACTCACTACTGATTGGCAAGGAGCTTCCAGCTTCTAACTAAGGGGGCATGTGTGTACATTCAGGAACGTCTGCCCTTAATAAACACACAGCTTCAAAACAACTATTGAACACGGTTAATCACTTCCTGCACCCTGCTAGTGTGCTGAAATAGCAACTACTTATTTGCGGCCTGTCAAGGTTCCTCCCCCACTCTGAACTCTAGGGTACAGATGTGGGGACCTGCATGAAAAACCTCCTAAGCTTATCTTTACCAGCTTAGGTCAAAACTTCCCCAAGGTACAAAATATTACACCCGTTATCCTTGGAATGGCCGCTACCACCACCAAACTAATACTGGTTACTGGGGAAGAGCTGTTTGGACGCGTCCTTCCCCCCAAAATACTTCCCAAAACCTTGCACCCCACTTCCTGGACAAGGTTTGGTAAAAAGCCTCACCAATTTGCCTAGGTGACTACAGACCCAAACCCTTGGATCTGAGAACAATGAAAAAGCATTCAGTTTTTACAAGAAGACTTTTAATAAAAAATAGAAGTAAATAGAAATAAAGAAATCCCCCCTGTAAAATCAGGATGGTAGATATCTTACAGGGTAATTAGATTCAAAAACATAGAGAACCCCTCTAGGCAAAACCTTAAGTTACAAAAAAGATGTACAGACAGAAATAGTTATTCTATTCAGCACAATTCTTTTCTCAGCCATTTAAAGAAATCATAATCTAACACATGCCTAGCTAGATTACTTACTAAAAGTTCTAAGACTCCATTCCTGGTCTATCCCTGGCAGAAACCAGCATACAGACAGACCCAGACCCTTTGTTTCTCTCCCTCCTCCCAGCTTTTGAAAGTATCTTGTCTCCTCATTGGTCATTTTGGTCAGGTGCCAGCGAGGTTACCTTTAGCTTCTTAACCCTTTACAGGTGAGAGGAGCTTTCCCCTGGCCAGGAGGGATTTCAAAGGGGTTTACCCTTCCCTTTATATTTATGACACGGCCACTCAAGGCTCCATACTGCCACCTTGTCTGGGAATGTTTCCATATCAACTCAGAGCAAGTAGAAGCAGCGGCTGTAATTACTGCCCTGATGTTTTTGGCTCAACAACAGAAAACAGAATGAAACGGGGGTAACATTAGCGTGATTCCACCTGGCATTTTAGCTCCTGCCCTCTGCTGGGCCAGCACACTGACATTTAGGCTCCTTCCTGCCATTTTGTGGAGTCCCTTGCATATCCCTTTGACTGTGTCATACTGCAAGGGCCATAGGACAAGTTTCAGAGGCAAAGTTTAGTAAAGTCCCCGGTCGCAGCTAGCATCCAAAGGCCACTTACAATGAGCTGGGTTTTTTCTTTTAAAAAAAATATGTTGTGCACAAACAATATTAATTGTTTAAGTGACTTAACTTAGACAATAGAAAAAAAATTGATTGTGGACCTAATAACAGAG